TCTCACATCATTATGAGTGGTTCTGGTGGAGGATTGTGATGAGGCATTGACTTCAAGCCAACTGTTATTGATTTCTTTGCTTATCAATGCAGAATGACTCAAGTCCGCACAAAATTAGAGTCAAACCACTTGGATGTTAATTATTGTATTCGCACTTGGGTTCGCTCTGTTCTTTTAATTCCAATTTTTCATATAAACATCTTCTAAAATTCTAGAAAAATAAAAAAGATTCTCAAAACATGGACTAACTATTTTTTCTTAATTCTTCATTATAGATACAATTAATGTGAACATTAAGAAAAAGACTAAAAATAAATCCCATTTACATCTGTACTTCAACTTCAAGCAAGAAGGAAAATCGCCACTATGGATCCAGCACCTCCGCTTGGAAATTAATCTGTTTCTGCCTAGCTCTCTTGATATCCTTCACGATGATAAATGCAACTTTCATATTCATCTTCCTTGCCCTTGCTCTACTCGTCTACTATATGAATGAAGTTTTCTTTATGAATTCATTTAGTGAATCCTGTGGACTTGTGTTCAACGTCTCCACAAATACACACTCTTATTCCCGCAATTGCTACGACCCCAGCTACGGACTACGCTGCCAGAACAACAAAACTGTGTTGTATTTAAACTACGGGAGTCCTTTAGTAGAGGCCATCTGCGCCACTAACTCCACCACTACTCTCCAATCCATCACCGCTGGACTTGGTATTAACAATTGCCCTGCCATCTCTCGCCATTCTCTCACATAAAACAACAACTTCACCCACGCTTTCACAGCCAAAGCAAGATAACTAAGTGTAACATCCCAACTTTTAAGCATAGAAATGCAAGAAATAGTCTGAAATGAGTAGGTTACCAAACTCCTTTTGGCAAGAGTCCCAGAAATTTTTTTGAAAGAATAGAATTATTCTTAAAAGTCAAATTGCAAAGAGAGAGTTTTTTGCGACCAAGAGACAAGGAAGTTAGAGGCTGTAGTGAAGTCTCGAAAGTCAAATATAATAAATGAGCAAGTAAATAACGCAATGAATATTTTTCCCTGTAGAGAGTCAAAGGAGTTTTAATTTGAGACTTGAATCACTTCAATGCGGTTTTTTTATAATTAGTTATGAATTTTTAAAGTTAGGTAAAAATCTGAAATTTACTACATGAATGGTAACCCAAAAATAAAAATAGAAGTTTTCAATATATAAGCTTAATTCATGATTTGCTGGATCATAGCGCTTCTAAATATACATTAAATGATGGACGTTTCACTAAGCACCAAAAATTACCATTATCATGTGGGCGGATTACTGTTTGTTAGCTGCCAAAGTCCAGTTAACTCTATTTTTATTCACAAGTTCAGAGCCAAGAGGTACAGGGGATTGAGATCAGATTGCAACCAAATCGTTGTGGCGAGTGGGAAGAAGAGAAAGGTAACTGCTTGAAAATGCCACTAATATGGTTCTTTGTCATCGTCCGCTGCTGGGTCTTAGAATGCTTTGAGGTGATGAACGGCACAGATATAGCTAATTATCATGGTATTCTTGAGAAGAAAAGAAAAATTGAAACAATTGTTTTCATGATTGGTCTGGTCGAAACTTCTGAATCTTGACAGTGCAGGTTTTGCTATTGAGACTGCGACGATTATTCAAGGTTTAATTTTCTCCTTGTCCTTCAATTTCATTTGTCACACTATTAAATTTCTTGCCCTAGTTAGTTATAGAGCGAAACCAATAACAGTTACAGAAAAAAGAGCATCAGTTAGATATTTTTCCTATTCTCTGTTTATGACAATGTTGAGGAATTCCTTCAAAATAATAGTAACCTAATGCCCATGAAGCACTCCTACTCAGAGATCAACAAATTGACTAATGGCTTCAAACACAAGTTAGGTGAAGGACGCTATGGTCATGTCTTCCAAGGAAAGCTTCAAAGCAAACGTGATGTAGCTGTCAAGGTACTAAGCAAGTTCAAATCCAATGGACAAGATTTTATTAGTGAAGTTGCTACTATTGGCAGGATTCATCATGCGAATGTGGTTCAACTTAATTATTGGACTTTGTGTTCAAAGAAACAAGCGAGGTCTTGTGTATTTTGTCTTATGGGTCTCTTGACAAGTATATATTCTAGGAGATAAAGGAGAATTCATCACTTAGTTATGAGAAAATATTTAATATTTATCTTGGGATTGCTCGTGGAATTGAGTATTTACGGGGGAATGTGACATGCAGATATTACATCTTGACATTAAACCTCACAATATCCTTCTTGATGAAAATTTCGATAAAAAAGTTTCTGATTTTGGATTGTCAAAGTTGTATTCCTTAGATGATAGCATTGTATCTCTAACTAATGCAAGAGGAACACTGGGATACAAGGCACCTGAATTATTTTACAAGAACATTGGAGGGATATCACATAAAGCTGATGTTTATAGTATTGGGATGCTGTTCATGGAAATGGCAGGTAGGAGGAAGAACTTGAATGTTATTGAGCATTCTTGGCAAACCCATTTTGCCAAATGGGTTTATGACCAATTTGAAGAATCCATAGAAGTGAGTGGTACCACCGGAGAGGAAAGGGAAATTGCGATGAAGATGATTGTTATAGCTTCACATTGCATACAAATGAATCCTAGTGATCCACCCTCAATGAAGAAAGTGATAGAGATGCTCGAGGGAGAAATTGACCTCCAAGTGGCTTTTCCACCGTACCAACCCTCTATAACTTGGAAAGGGATTCCAAAAGGGGATGTTGAATTGTTGATATATAATTGGAAGAATTTGAATTCAGAATGAGCTTTGTAAATCTTTAATAATAGTTTAATGCAGAGTTAGTATTTTGAACATCTCCTTATAGTATTTTTTGCATTTAACCCTTGACTAGCTAAGCTTTACAGCTAGCAAATAGCTAGATACGTACAAACACAAAATTTATTGAACAATTTTGACTTCTACATTTTTAATTGAGATGACAGGTTTTCATGACTTTCTTCAATAATAATATCAGTGCGCTTAAGTTGTTGCTGTATAGCTCATCGGCTTAGACTGTGTTTGTGGTAATTATCTGAAAATGTTATAAAGTTTGATACATATTAAGTTGAAAAATTGGCTTGTCACTATTTTCAATATTCATGTGATTGGTTTCTTGGCCAAGAAAACGGGTATGTTACGTTAGCTGAAGTAACGAATTTTTCAGCGAAACATTTATGTCACTTGATCTCCAGAAATTTATGTACCATAGAAGATTGATAACAAAGCTCGCTAGTCATGGTTACAGCTTATATATCTTCCTTCGTGTTGAGGAAACTCCCTGCATTGATTGATAGTGATGGGATGGTTGATGGAATGGGACCATAATAAAATGAGAGATAGGAAAAATTATTACCTTCTCTTAAAAAATACAATGTCATTTAAGATTTGAGGTTTAGAATTTAGTCAATATGGTGGGGGCGATTTTTTTATTGCCCTCTTTTCCTTGGAAGCTTCATGGAGTACTTTTCTTGTCATTTTGTTGAAAATTTGTTCTTAATAATAAGCGGTCTTAATATACTACCTCCGGTGCTTAATATAAAAATTAGTTTGACTTTTAGTTTAATTTTAAATATAAGATCAATTTATTTTGTCTCTCATATTTATATTTTTTTTAAGATAGTTTTTGTCGTAATTGCATATGTCAAATGTTTCATCAAATAATACTTTATTAGTAAGGATATTTTAAAAAAAATAATACCTATTTATTACAATAAACTAATTTAACAAAATTCTTTAATCTACTTAAATTAATTAACAAACTTTTATATCAAGGACCAAAGGTAGTACATCAATTTTGGTTGACTTGGAGTCAATGATTTGGCTTTTATAAACTTTCATTTTTCTTTTGGTCCAATCTGGAAATTCACGATTACTCCAAAATAGTATTCCTCCAGTTCTAATTTGAATAGATTAACGATGTTAGTTAATTCAGTTAATATGATTTTTTTTAAATACCCTTAGCGTCTTTCTTAATTTCCTCCCTCCCTCTCCTACTTGATGATTATTGAAAAAAATATCAATAGGGTTAATTTAGAAAAAACTGATAAAAATAAGTCTTATAAATGGTACTAATATTAACTCTTCAATTAAGTCCTAAAGCAAGCACCACAGGAGTAATTCTCTAGACAAAATTTGAACTGTTCACCCAATCAAAATCCTCCGTTTGATTTTTCGAAGTCTAAGTTATATTAAGAATGCGAAGTGCAACTAGCTAGGAAATACGATGTTAATTGATAGTATTCTATCCATATATAATATTTTTTTATGTATATAAATTTACGACATGAGTTCATAAATTTAGGTAATTATAAATTTAGTTTGTTTATATTTAATAATTGTTTAGTTCAATTAATTCGATTTAAGTATTTGATTTGACGTAAGCTATATTCATTTTATGGATCTGGAATTAAAAAAATCCTCATTTAATTAAAGTGCTGTGTTAGTGGATGAGGATCAGGATAAGGCATTGAGTCCAAGTCAACCATCATTTATTTTTGTAATTATCAATGGCACTATGGCAGGATGACTTTTCAAAGTCACCTAAACTCATGAGTCAGGGTCAACCCACTTGGGTATTGCATCGAGTTGAGCGAACTTTCAAAATCTGGATTCACACTACATTTTTTTTTTCCAAAAAAAATCATATAAAAGTCTTATAAAATTCAGAGAGACTCGGAAAAATAAAACAAATTCTCAGAACTTGGACTAAAACTCTTATTTTGTAATTATTTTTTATTATACAATTCTTGCGACCTTCTCATCTACATTTTTACTTGAACTTCACGCAAGAAGGGAAATCGATATCATTAGTAGTTTCTTTTTGTTTTTTTGGTCATGATATCATTGGTAGTTATCATCATAGGCATCCATCACTTGTTTTGTTTTGAAGACAGGGGATGTATGGATCAAGCTAGCCAGCACCTCCGCTTGTAAAGTAGCTTGCTTATCTTCTTCCTTCTCTGACAGTACTTCACAATGATAAGTGAAGCCTCCATAATCATCTTCCTTGCAGCCTTTGCTCTAGTTTCAAATTTTATGGGAGTTTTCCATACCGGATATTTATTTAGTGAATCCTGCGGACAAGTGTTCAACGTCCCAACAAATAGATATCATGATAAAGGCAATTGCAGCGATCCAAGTTACGAACTAGTGTGTGAGAATAACCGAAGTGTGTTGTATGTAAACTATGGGAGGCATTTAATAGAGGCCATTTATGCCACTAACTCCACCACTGCTCTCCAATCCATCACCGCTGGACTTGACATCAACAATTGCCCAGCGATCTCTCGTCAATCCCTCGCATACAATAACTTCAGCCAAGCTTTCACAGCCAAAGAGACAGAACTCGACTCCAAGAATAACCACTTCAATTATTATGTGGGAGGATTAGTGTTTGTCGGCTGCCAAAATCCACTCTCTCCTGATCGCTATCCGGGTTTAGTGGCGCTTTGTACTAACGAAGCGCCCGAAACGCTTCATCCTTTTGTGCTGACGTGGTATTCCTCAAGTATCTCTGGAGTGCCAGAGTCATGCAGAATAGATTTGATAGTGAAGGTGGTGCCATGGGGACCAATGGCGTGTAATGAGAGTTGTTCATATCCGAAAGTTCAGAGGCAAGAGGTAAAAGGGATTGAGGTCAGATGGCGCCCAAATCGTTGTGGAGTGTGGGACGCAGGGCCGCAGCCTGACTGTTGGTTTGAAAATGCCACTAATATGGTTCTTTGTCCTTCCCAAGACTACGGTGCGGCAATTTGTCTTGTGAACCTTATTTTCGGTGAGCTTCATGGATATAGTTTTCATGGAATATAGTTAATCTATGAAAGAAAATAAAGTAACAAGGATATTTACTCTCAGGTGATTTAATAGAAACCAATTATGTTTTAGAATTTTTGACAATGCAGCCTTCTTCGCGAGCATGATATATACAGGTAAACGAACCAGAGTTTCTCATTGCGTACAGGAAAATGCTTCAATATATACTTCATTTCATTATCCGTGATGATTATTGTTGAAATCTTAATGGGAAGTCCATATTTTAGGAATCCCAACAAGGAATTCAATGTTTATAATATAAGTCTATATTATATAGGAAGAACTGATTCAATGCTGATTATTATTGTTGAAATCTTGTGTACAGTAACTCTCTGGTATGCAGCTAAATTCGTACTGAGTGCCCCTTGTGCTTTAATATTCTTGATTATCCGATGGAGAAGAAGGCATCAATCTTATTATGACAATGTTGAGGACTTCCTCCGAAATAACAGTAACCTGATGCCCATCAAGTACTCTTACTCAGAGATCAAGAAAATGACCAGTGGCTTCAAACACAAGTTGGGTGAAGGAGGCTATGGTTATGTGTATAAAGGTAAGCTTCGAAGCAATCGTGATGTAGCCGTCAAGTTACTGACAAAGTCCAAAGCCAATAATGCACAAGATTTCATTAGTGAAGTTGCCACTATTGGCAGGATTCATCATGTCAATGTGGTGCAGCTGATTGGATTCTGCACTGAAAGAAGTAAGCGAGCTCTTGTTTATGAATTTATGCCTAATGGATCACTTGACAAGTACATATTCTTGGAGAGACAAAGCAACACGCCCCTCAATTACAAGAAAATATTTAACATTTCTCTTGGGATTGCTCGAGGAATTGAGTATTTACATCGAGGATGTGATATGCAAATTCTACACTTTGATATCAAACCTCACAATATCCTTCTTGATGAAAATTTTAATCCAAAGATTTCGGATTTCGGATTAGCTAAGTTGTATCCATTAGATAATAGTATTGTGTCTCTGACAAATGCAAGAGGAACATTTGGATACATGGCTCCTGAATTCTTGTACAAGAACATTGGAGGAATATCACACAAAGCTGATGTTTATAGTTTTGGGATGCTACTGATGGAAATGGCTGGCAGAAGGAAGAACTCAAATGTCATTGAGCATTCCTGGCAGACCTATTTTGCTAAATGGGTTTATGATCAATTTGAGGAATCAATAGAGGGGAGCAATATCTCAGATGAGGAAAGAGGAATTGCAAAGAAGATGATCATAATAGCTTCACATTGCATACAGATGTATCCTAATGATCGACCCTCGATGAAGAATGTGTTAGAGATGCTTGAGGGAGAAATGGAGCTTCAAGAGGCTCTTCCTCCCTAAATTTATGTAACTTGGAGAGAGATTTCAGAAGAAAATGTTGTTGTTACTGATAGTTCGCGTTTCTATTAAGCTACTTGCAAATAAGTAAAACTAGTATTATGGTCAGTATCTTTAATGTTTTCTGAAATACTCTGATTTATTGGATTACATGTAGGTTATTGTTGGAAGAAAGCTGTTGTCCTGGTAAATAATGAAATTTTTATGTTGCCACGTTTTTACATGCTCTTTTATGATATAGCTATTTCTTCAGTATATGGAAATTTAAATTAACAAGTTTTCTCTACAGTTATTTATTTTTAAAAAGAATTTGCTGCTTGGTGGAATTCTAATTTGTAGTTTATACAACTTGCATGATGATATAAGGAATCCAGTGGATTTGAATGGAAAAAACGAGTTAGGAAAGATAAAACTAAGTTTCAAATTTAATATTACATATATAATCACTGTCACTCTTTCCTAGAAACTGCTTGGTCCATCTTTCTTATCACTTTGTTGAAAGTTTGTCGCCAATAATGAATCCAGTGGTAGGGAAGCACATCAATTGTGGTTGACCTGGAGTCAATATAATAATTTGGCTTTTTAAAAAAATTAATTTCCATCTTCTTATGGTTCCATCCAATCAATCGTTACCGGAACATCAATTCTTGCCGACAATATGTGGAATAGTATAATCTGACTAAACAAATTTCAGAAGTATAATATATATATATATATATATATATTTCATTTTAATAAAAATGAGAAATTAAATAGAAGCAAGCAAAATTTGCTGAAAAGTTACGTATTTGAGAAGATTTTGATTAAAATGGCTTGAATTCAGGAGGCATAACTCATCTTCAACATATGAGTGCAATTTTTCTTCAGCCATATGCAATACCTATTTCTTTTTGTACTTATTAAAAGAGTTGTAATGAGTTGCACCTATATCTTTAAATAATTTCTTATACTTTTGGTTACTTCTCACCAATTTTTCCTAGAAACCATTGCAAATGTAGTTTTCTTGTAATTAATATTTGTTGGATTATATAAATTCAATTTTTTGTTTCTATTTAATTTATAGTCCTTTAATTATATATATAGTTCTAGAATGAAGCAAAACATGCTCTTCATCTTCGTTGAAAATTCTCGCGGCATTTATTAATGCGTGATGGTAGTGGAATTGCACAAGGCATTGACTCCAAGTCAACTGTTATTAATAATATCTTTAATCATCAATGCCTGAGTGGCAGCCACCTAAAATCTGTCCTAGTCGAGCTTTATATAAATTGTATAGAATTGAATTAGGAAAATTTTCAAAAGTTGGAAAGCGACTATATTCTGTCTTAAAAGTTCTTTACAATAAAACTCTCATAAAGTCCATGAAGACTTCAAGAAACGATTTTTTATTGGCCACTATTTTTTTAGAAATTCTTTACTGTAAAATTCTAATACAAATTCATAAAAAAGTAAAAGTGAATCTCATTTCTATTTTTATTTTGTTACTCTTACCATTGTCTCCCACATCTCAACAACCCTTTCTGTAGAGATTTAAAATATTAAGCTTTCTTTGTGGTTATACATTTCGAGAAGAATTTCGGTTATATTTGACATAATTTGAGTTCCTCAACATAGATAGTCCAAGCTTCAAAAAATGAGTTCATGAAGAGTGAGCCAAGCTTCAGAATAGGGAAGCCATTCGCATATATGTAGGCCTCTGCAGTAGTTTCTCTTCTAACCATTTTATTCAAAAGGATATAATTCTTCAAAGAACTTAGATTATGATATATAGCTTCAGTGAACCATGTAGTTAGGAAATACTGGACAACAGTTTTCTCAAGTTGGTTATAGCCACTGGCAAAAACGTAGAACTTACATATTTATAATTGTTTAGAAATTCTTTCATGGATAACTATCTGTGATCCTATTTTGAACTTTATACACAAGAAGGAAAGACTACCAAGCTAAACACAAATTTATATCTAACACAGCTCATTATAACCATCTCAACTTCACTCTATTTCTGAAATGGTAGATAACTCTGGTTGCAATCGCCTTACTCCATTAGCAGCTCTTGTTCTAATTGCATATGAAGAACCAAAAGGATTAGGAGGCATGATTAGCTTTTCATCGTCCCCTTCCAGCATTTGAACCACATTTTTCATGGTTGGACGGTTTGCTGGATGCCACTGAATGCACCAAAGTCCAATAATGGATAGCTTCCTTGCAATTTTAGTGTCCTCCTCTCCTTCCACATGGATTTGTATGTCTTCATTGTTCTCTAGAAGATTATAAATCCATTGTGGGTAGTAAACTTGCTCGCCATTTTCTTCTGTGACATCTGTGATTTTCCTTCCTCCAACCATTTCAAGCAGTAACATTCCATAGCTATAAACATCTGATTTATAAGACACATTGCCAAAGTTCCGAGAAAATATTTCCGGTGCAATATAGCCCAAAGTGCCCCTAGCTGTTGTCATTGACACAATGCTTTGATCCTTAGAACAGAGTTTGGCCAAACCGAAATTAGATATTTTTGGAGTGAATTTGTCATCTAACAGAATGTTGTGAGGTTTGATATCAAAGTGGAGGATCCGTTTGTCACAATCTTCATGAAGATACTCAATTCCTTTGGCTATGCCCAAAGCAATATCTTGAAGCTTTTCCCAACCCAGGAAAATATCCTTTCTATCAGCTGAAGTTATGAATTTTTGCAATGAACCATTGGGTAAAAATTCATAAACCAAAGCTCGTTTGAAACCATCCGCACAGTAGCCAACCAAGCGAGCCACATTGACATGGTGAATTTGACACATGGTCTCCATTTCATTGATGAACTCTTGTCCATTCCCAGTTGAAGTGTTGAGAAGCTTGATAGCCACCAGAATCTCATTAGATAGCTTCCCTTTAAAGACAGTTCCGTAAGCTCCTTGTCCAAGTTCATCCTTGAACTGATTAGTGATCCTCTTTATATCTGCATACGAGTATCTAGCCGGCCTAAGTGCTTTGTAATCCTCCAAAAACAGTTTAATTTTTTTGTAACCCTGCCTCTCTAGGCTAGCTACAGTAACCCAATAAACAACAAACCCAACAAACATGAGCAGGAACGGGCCTAGGATTTCACCTGCAAATACAGCGTCATGTACAAAAACGTATTAAATTGATTTGGGAACTTTTGTCTTTAATTTATATGTGAAATGATGAACTGTTGGCTGAAGAATCCTTACCAGTGAGTACTATCTTTTTTGATGGACCTGCTAAAATAAACTTTATATCAGCTTCACATAGATTTTATACTCTCTTTATGAAGGTATTATAATCGGAGAAAAAACTATAACTGTATGAGGGTTTTGGAAACATTCAGGTTCACGTTCAACTTTGTTTTCTGTCAATCTACACTGCCCTCCATCTTCTTCACACTTTCTGCAATCTGGTTCGAGCCAAGACAGATATATAGGCTCATTGTAATAGTAAAACGAATTAGGCATGATGCATAACCAGGAATTCTCGTGCATGATAGAAGAGGATAGTCTATGATTTCTGCTGAATATGGTATAGCTAAAACTTCATAGCCAGCAACATCGAGGCAAGAAAAGTTCCCCCATTGCTGAAATTCTGAATCTCTACGAGACGTCCCTGAGCAATTGAATAACACATTTTGGCTTGATTCATCATAATCATTTGAACGAAAAGGAGATGCAGATAAATTGAGATGAGCAAGGCATCCATCAGGCTCTGACACGGCAAAGAATTGCTTTTTATAGTCTACGTCTTGTATGATAACCCTGACTGAGAAAGGCAGCTCGAGCACTGTCTGGTTTGTTTCAGTACAGTAAAGGTCAAAGCCAGAATTATACGCACACCATTCTGGCTGTTTTCCTTTGAGCCTAAAGGGGAACTGGACGTCTGGTCCATCAAGGCTGCACCTTGTTACTTTGCATGGATCGTGGATGTTTGGTTCGGCAAAAATATTTAAGAAGCAGAAGAATAAGAACAGGGTTGCGAATCGGCTGGGCTGTTTCATTGTTCGCAATGCCAATACTTGAAATCTAAGATGCAATTTTGTGTGAGTTTGAACAATAAAAAATGGGAAGCAACCAGCCTCTTGGTATTTTGGAGGAACCATCGCTCCGGTTTACTGGAACTTTCCACGAAAAATAGGAATGAAGCCAAGTTTCAAACTTTTCATTGTCTTTGCTTCCTCAGTATAGGCCCGCACATGCATTTCATTTATTTCTTGGTCGGTCGTTTGGGAGTTATCTCCGACTCTGAAGGCACCCATAAGTTTTGTCGTTATGTCGAGCTGTCTCGTGTTTGAATGGGTTAAGCCGTCCTGAACTATATTGTGCTTCATCCAAATGTTATTTTCTTTAAGTCAAGCCGCCTGAATGTTTCAAAACTTGGAATAAATATATGTGGTTGTCTCGATCCATCACCTCTGCTTGTTTCTTCCTGCTCTGATCCTTCACACTGATAAACCTAATCTTAATCATCTTCTTTGCCTTCGTTTTGGAAGGTTCATATCTTCCTAGTTTACCACTCTTTGTCGAAACATTTAGTGAATCCTGCGGATATGTGTTCAACGTCTCCACAGATACAAATCTTTATTCCAGCAATTGCAGCGATGGAAATCTAAGACACAATTTGTGTGAGTTTGAAAGATAGGAATGGGAAGCAACCACCCTCTTGATATTTTGGAGGAACCATTGCTCCTATTTACTGGAAAATTTCCACCAAAAATGGGAATGAAACCAAATTTCAAACCTTTCATTGTCTTTGTTTCCTCAGCATAGGTCCCCTGGCATTCATTGGTTGGTCGTTTGGTAGTTATCTTTGACAATGAAGGCACCCATGAATTTTGTCGTCAAACTGTCATAATTTTTTTTTGAATTAGCCACCTAACTCCTATTAATAAGTTGTCTCATAATTGAATTCCTTACACAAATTCTCAAGACTTTTTGTATTGCTTACTCCCAAACCTTCACTTCATGAATTATAATTTATTATATTATGTTCCCTCTCCTCTTTAGCTTCTTCCTCCTATAATTTAAGACAAAATTACACGAAAAAAATTACTTTAAGTTATGACAAAAATATTTTATAGTGTGGAATGTCTCAACCTTTTGAAAATTAATGACAGAAACAAAATAACTGCTAAAAAAATACTTTAGGAGCAAAATTGAATGATAAAATACTTCAAGCACTTGGGGAAAAAATGCCGTATAATGTTGGATGAATTAAAAAGAGCCTCATTAACAATTGAAGATAAAAATAACAAAATAATGTAGATCAGAAAATTACTTAAAATTGGTGAAAAGCACTAAAACCTTAGGCACAATGGAGGGAGAGAGCAAAGAGAGAATAAATAGGAAAACCACTTACTCCCCTATTGTCTTTAATATAAGATTTACTTAATTAATTTAGGTAGGTTAAGAAAGTTAGATAAATTAGTTAATTATAACTAGTGTGGCATAATCTCTTTAAAATATCCCTATTTAATATTAAATTATATATTAGTTTATAAATTAGATAAATTAATTTGAAGAAATCAAAAAATCATAAACATGAAAAACACAGTGAGTGAAAATTTCAGACATCCTTTTAGGTGTATCTTATAAATGAGATCATGTCAACTCACCAATCACAAGTGTATTTTAATGGAAAATTTTAAATTTTAAGGCATGATTAAAAGAATAAACTAACTTTCTTGAACTGTCTGAGTTGATTGAAATTATATTTGAAGATGGAAGGAGCATAGAATTAACTTCCAAGAAATTGATCAATTCATGAACGCAATCAATGCGAGTTAGACTTTTCAAGGTTATAAGAAAAGGGGCAAAAAGAAACTACTACTTGTTCACACGTCTTTAAATTGTTAATTGGCACATAGCATTGACTCCAAAGTGATCTATCATCGAAGCGTCATCTATGCTTTTGAGAGCTATCACCGCCTGGTAGACACCTTTCCCAGATCCTTCACAATGATAACGCAAACCGTCATCTTCCTTACCCTTCTTATTTCTTTTTATTTGCTAGTGTTTGGTTTCTCACCAAAACCAGATTTTGCTTATCTTAGGTATAGATATTTCTATAATCGCAATAGCAAAGTGATCAGCGATCCGAGTTACGAACTAGTCTGTAACAAGAACAAAAGCGTGTTATATCTGAACTATGGGAGACAACTAGTAGAGGCCATTTATGCCGCTAACTCTACCACCACTCTCCAATCCATCACTGCTGGAAATGACATCAACAACTGCTCCGCTATCACTCGTACATACGACAACTTCACCCACGTTTTCTCATCAGCAAAAGAGAATGAACTGAGAGAACAAAATTTTCGTTTTTATGTGGGTGAATTAGTGTTTGTCAGCTGCAAAAATCCAGTTCTCTCTCCTCTGAATGAGAATATTGTGGCGCTTTGCTCTGCTGAAGAGCCAGAAGCGCAATATTCTTATATGCTGAAGCGGTATCCAAGTGCATCTGATGTGGGAGAGTCCTGCAAAATAGATTTGATGGTGAAAATGGTGCCATGGGGACCGATGACATGTAATGAGAAATGCCCATATCAGAAACTTGAGAGTGAAGTGGTAAAGGGGATTCACATCAAATGGCGTGCTGATCGTTGTGGAGTGGCGAACGGAGGGGAACCTAATTGCTGGCTAGAAAATGCCACTAATATGATTCTCTGTCATCAGGATGCACTAAATCCTATTTTGCAATGTTCATGGTGAGCTTCGTCGATAGTTATCTCGGTATTCTAATGAAGAAAAGTAATTATTGTCATGGTTGTCATACTGAAATTAATTATATTTTTAATCTGAATTTTGACAATGCAGGATTCTCTTTGTATTACTCGACTACAGGTATGTGCCAATCAAAGTTTTCTCCTTGCCAGAGAATTTTCTAGTTCTTTTTCTTTTTTTCCCCCCATTTGTTTAGGCAATTTAACGCACACCTCTCTCTGTCATAGGGAGGGAACCACACACCCATCGCATCTATCCCTCTTTTAACAACATGTAATATAGAACCCATAACCTCCTTTATGAGAGGAGGTGGGAGGTACTTGTGAGTTAGGCTTCAATTTGCGAACCGACCAATTGTGGTGTGGATAAAAAAAGTTTTCCTTTCTGGTAAAACAAACAAAGAATGTTTAAGCTCTTATATTAGGAACAAGAAGGAGTAAGTAACTACTTTAAGATCCAAGGAACAAATTTTTAAGGTGCTCATCTTACAAGGACATTAAAAAGACAAGTCTTATCAGTTAGACATATAAATATAAACGTATGAATCTAGTTTATTTAGGATGCAATGCATTCTTACTCTTATGCTGTGATCACTACCTAATTCAGGTCTCAGTCAGTCATTCTATTTATAAATCTTTTGGTTTTAAATTAACCCCTCAATCCATGTAATCTCACCAATTTCCAGTAAGTCCATGTAGTTTCCCCTTTCTATCAGGAACTCATAATTTCCTCAGTTACAGCTATAGCATTTTCCTCTCCTTTTTATTATATCCCTATTGTCATTGATCCTGTGGACTGTGGTATTAATTTTAGATTGTAATAACGTTACTGGCTGTTGAGATGGTTGACAGATTATGATCAGGCTCTGACTCCGCATGTACTTGTATTAAAATTGCCATATAGTCTAAACCCCTCACCAAAGCTTTCTCTTATAATTAATGACCAAAAATTCACATGCCTGCAAAATTTTTATCAATGTAAGATCTCTTTATTCCTTAAGTTTTTCTTCTGACCATTTATCTATTCCAAATTGTTTGATACCAGATAGAGAATGCAATTCATCACTTGCATTTAACATTCAAAAGTAAATTATGGTTTTACTAAAGCACAACTGGAGGTATATAAATGGGGAACTGACGAGACTTTGCAACTCTAACGGGAGAAAGGAGGAAAGAGAGGGAAGGAGAGAGAGTTGAGAGACGAACAGAAACAAATGGAGAGGGAAAAGTAATAGCAAACAGAGAAACTGAGAGATGCACTCTGAGTAACTTCACTGATGTTTACAAATCATAATATGAATACAAAGTAGGCATATATCCTATTTATAAACTCAGTATCTCTCAATTAACACGCAATCATCTTTCTAGCTAATTTTTTCACTCCTATTTACACTACCTACGTAATAGCAATTGCACAGCAAATTATCCCTTTTGAGAATCTCAACTGTACATTCGTATACGAATCAATAGGAATTGCCCATTTTTTCACGTGGTTATTTGACCGGGTCA